TGCTGCTTTTACCAACACAAGACCTGCTGCTCTCCGCTCACATGCACGCGCACGCACGCACGCACGCACGCACGCACACACACACACACACACACACATCTGTTTCCTGCACCCCAAAGCTACAATAACTAGTGATTATTTCTTGTCTGCATCACTTGAGCTGAGCACTGAACAACAATCAGCAGCACTCATCAAAAAATCCAATTTGTTCAGGTGAAACCAGCCGAAACCGTTCGACAAACAGGAGGATTGTGTAAGAGGTAACCCCGGGATTTTATCTTTGCTTTAGAGGTTTTATTTCTTTACTTTATTAGGAATGAGATTTAATTCTCTAATCTTTTTCTGCGCACAGCGGCCAACCTTTAACTTTATACATTTAAAACCTAAAAGCAGATGGTTTCAGGGTTACCTGCTCTGGGTATTGTTGTGTTAATCGAGTCCAGGGAGCTTTTTTTTTTTTTATCTCCACCTCTTAACCTAAAAAAAAACTGTTTTCCACTGAACTTGTTTCTCTTCCTATAAGTCGGCTTCCAAGCAGAATCACTTTGTCTTTCAAACCCTGAAGGCTTTTCTCACTTTCTTCCACTCTGGACCCTATTTTCTTAAAAAGCTAAAGTTTTTTTTTAGATGCACAACTAACAAACTGTTAAATGGGGGATTACCTTACCTTACATTTAAAGCTACACGAAAGGTGAACATTTAGGACGATGCAGAATGTGAAAGGTCAACAATGGCCTCATAGATTTATCGACTGTTTTGTTCAAAAACAGGCTAATCTGGAGCAGAGCTGCCTGAAGGTTTTCTCCAAGGCTTCAGTGAAATTCCTCTATTTATTTATTATTTACTTTGATTCAGACGCGTCATCGGAGCAGATGTGTCGTCACGCCTGTCTGTATTTCTGAATGGCTTCAGCATCATGTTTACCAGCATGTTTGAAACACCAACGCAGGAAGCGGACCRCCACAAAGCTCAAATATTGATTCGAAAGACACCAGAAAACTGCAAATAAACAGGAACTATGCTCCAGCGGTGCGTTGCTGCAGCAATTCTGCAGGTGAGCTCCAAACACCTTTGAGTTCCACTAAATGCCAAATGTTTAATGAAATAATCYGTCTGATTGGCGCTAGCATCTTATTTACTGAGTCTGTTTATAATCCTGCAAAGTAACTGGAGAGCGTTTAAACCAAGCAGAACAACTGAAGTGACTCAAAGCGGAGAAGCTTCAAACAGCTCCTCTGAACTCACATCTGCAGCAGAGTCCACAGTTTGGCCTAAAGGTGACCAATGGAAGTCATTTCAGGCCCATTTTGTTCTCTCYGAACAAAAAAAAAAGACTTAAAACAAAATCTGAAACGAAAGAAAGAAAAACATGAATCCCTCCCTGAGAATAATCGTCTGCACAGCTGCAGCTTTCTGTGCCGAACGTCGCTGAGCGACAACTGAAAGCTACTTCTGCTCTCAGGAAAGCCCCGGAGCCACTCATTCATGTACGGAACATAAATACAACTGTGAGCAGAACTCATCAGCAGACGAGCCGGCTGCAGAACCACAGAGCCTGCATGTGTGTGTTTGTGTGTGTGTGTGTGTGTGGGGGGGGGTTCAGTGGCCCCGACTATCCAGGCCTCTCTCTCCTACCTGTTCACAACCTGAGCATCTCATTGTGTTCTGTGTGTGTGTGTGTGTGTGTGTGTGTGTGTGTGTGTGTGTGTGTGTGT